CACACTGTATTAAAACGACACAAGATAATGATACATAGAGTAAACATAGCACCAGAAACTTACTGATTATGCTAACCCAAGGAGCACTGAAGCTTGCAAGAAAGCCGTGAACTGTTGTGTGTTACGTCTTGAGTGTATCCCTAAAAACATCGGGGCTAAAACTGGATATAAACTTAGTTCCCGTTGGAGACGCTCGCCCACTAGAGGGAATTATAAACCAAGAAATTAGCTGAAGCTTATGTATTTCCCTTAAAGGATTAAACTAAACCTTCAAACAAAATAATTTGAAGCCTGAAAGGCAGAATACTCCTCGTCTGACATCTAAGAGATGTCACCATGCATAATGTCTGGCAACAAATAATATAATGGATACTCAGAGTCCATAGTTTTTTTTTTCATGCACTGTCCAAAGGTACAAGCAGGACGACTTCATTTATGGGTCTCTGATACAGTCTCTGTTCGCCCTTGCGGATGACCTTCACTTCTATCTTCCTGACTCTGCCATCCTGGCCTGGGAAGGTCTTTGTGACGAGTCCAAGAGGCCACTCATTCCTCTTCTCTTGCACATCTCTGAGTAGCATGACGTCTCCAGTCTGAAGATTGCGTTTTGGCGTTCTCCATTTGCGACGGTCCTGTAGTCCACTGATATATTCTCGTTGCCACCGTCCCCAGAAGAGGTTGGCCAGGTACTGGACCCGCCTCCACTGTCTTCTGAGAAGGGACCCTCAAACTGACCTGGGGGAGCCGGAGGTGCGTCAGTCTTTTGTGTGAGTAGCATCGCAGGGGTGAGAATCTCTGGATGCTCGGGGTCTGTGGAAACTGTTGTAAGTGGTCGTGCGTTGACAATGGCAGTCACTTCCGCCATGAATGTAACTAGCACTTCATGTGTGAGTTTTGCATGTCCATGTTGCAACAGCATTGAATCCAAGATACGGCATGTGATCCTATCATGCGTTCCCAGGCTCAAGCGCATGAGGGGGGTTGAACTGCCACTGACTTCCAGAGTCTTTTAGATGAGCGTTTATTTTGTCGTTGAGACACCCTTTTCTGCCAATTTGTAGCTCCCTGCAGGCACTCACAAAGTTTGTTCCACAGTCAGATCTGAACAATCTGACATCGCCTCTGATGGCTACGAAGCGGCGTAGTGCGTTGATGAAGCACGATGTGTCCATAGATTCTATTACTTCGATGTGTATAGCACGGATGCTCATACATGTGAAGATGACCGCCCATCTTTTGGCTTCCGCCTGGCTAGCTCTTGTTTTTCTGACTGTGACTGGCCATGGGCCAAACACGTCGAGACCCACATAGGTGACAGGAGGGTCTGCCTGTGTCCTGTCTTCTGGTAGGTCAGACATGATTTGGTCTTGCATTTTGCCTCTTAGTCTGCGGCAAATGACGCAGTTGAAGATCACACTACTGACGACTCTCTTTGCTCCCACAATCCAAAACCCAGCAGCTCTGACTGCACCTTCGGTAAAGTGTCTGCCTTGGTGGTGTACAGTACCTTTCCATGAAAGTGTTTTATTATTCGCTGAGTTGTGTGGTGTTTTCCAGGGATGAGAATGGCATGTTTCTCATGTGAAGTGAACTGTGCTCTTTTCAGCCGTCCACCGACTCTAAGCAGTTTGTCTTTGTCTGTGAATGGGCTTAGCTTCCAAAGTGGATTTGATTTCTTGATAGACTTCTCTTGCTCAGTGTGTCTGATTAAGCCTGCATAGACTTCTCTCTGAACTGAGTGAATGATGGTGACCTTAGCCCTTTGAAGCTGATTTTCCTCAAGGTGAGCATCACACATGTGCCATCCATGACAGTTGCTGTCTGTTTCCTTGGTGAACACCTTTGCAATGTGTTGTAGCCGTTCCATAGCTCTTACCAGACGACTCCAGCTGGAGAATCGTTCGAACCTTGCAGTCCCAAGCTTGTCTTTCATCAGGGTGGTGGCACAGGACACAACTTCTGGGCGCAGTTCAGGATCAGCCTCGGGGTCTATGAGGACAAAGGCCTCATGCTGTGTCTGATGATGATCTGAGCGAGTGAGGAATGCGGGTCCACTGAGCCACGTGGAGTCAGGCAGACGCTCGGTGGATAGCCCTCAAGTAGCCTGGTCCGCCGGGTTTACGTGTGTGGGCACATAATGCCACTGGTGAATCTGTGTTGAATGCCTGATGCGTTCGACCCGATTGTGGACATACACTCTTCATTGCAAATGTATCCAAGCACTACTTTAGAGTCTGTATAAAAGTTCACCTTGTGAATTGTAGTAGATAGCTCATGTTGGACTAATTCTGCCACTTCTGCTGCGAGCACCACAGCACAGAGTTCCAGCCTAGGGATGGAGATGTCTGGTTTTGGAGCAAGTCTGGCTTTGCAATGTATCCGGTGGAGGACGTGAGCTTTAAGTAGGCAACTGCACCAACCGCCTTTGTGGATGCGTCACAGAAAACGTGAATCTCCTTTCTTTGCGCTTCAGACAATGGAATAGATGTGTACATTCTGGGAATCTCGAGCTGTTGTAAGCGTTCTAAAGAGTCTTTCCATTGTCGCCACTTGTCTCGCTTTCCCTTTGGAAGTAAGGCGTCCCACTCTGCCACGTCAGATGAGATCTCTCTCAGAATGGCGCGGCCTTCAATGCTGACTGGCACAGCGAAGCCGAGGGGGTCATATAGACTGTTGACCACCAACAGCATGCTGCGCTTGGTGAAGGGCTTGTCACAACTTTTGACTTGGAATGACAGCAAGTCTTTAGAGAGGTCCCAGCCTAATCCTAGGCTACGCTGCATGGGTGGTGAGTCTAGACCTAGTTCAAGTCCCTGCAGGCCTGTGGTTAGGTCTTCATCTGGGAAGGCGCTAGTGACTGCAGAACTGTTCGATGAGATCTTGTGCAAGCGGATGTTGGACTGGGCTAACATTCTTTGAGCTCTGTGCAGCACTTCGATGGCCTGAGCTTCAGAGGGGAATGATTTCAGTCCATCATCCACATAAAAATGATGTTCAATGAACTCTCTCACGTCCGTGCCGTATTCTCCTTCCCCCTCCATAGCCGTCCTTTTGAGCCCATAGATAGCGACTGATGGTGATGGGCAGTTTCCGAACACATGAACTGTCATGCGAAACTCTTCCACTTCTCCATCCAAGTCATGATCTCGGAACCAAAGAAAGCGCAGGTAGTCACGATGGTCCTCTCTGACCAGGAAGTTGTGAAACATTTGTTCCACGTCTGCCATCACAGCATATGGGTCGCTTCTGAACCGGAGAAGGACGCCCGTCAGGCTGTTGTTGAGGTCTGGCCCTTTAAGCAGCACTTGGTTGAGGGAGGCATTGGAAAAACGAGCACTTGAGTCAAAAACTATTCTTATCTTTCCTGGCTTTTGAGGATGATAAATGCCAAAGCTGGGGAGATACCAACACTCTTGACCAGGTCGGAGGGGAGGGGCATGTTCTGCATGTCCCTTGCCGAACATTCTCTGCATAAACTCCACATAATTCTCTCTCATCTCTGGCTTTCTTTTTAACGTCTTTCGCAGTGACCTCAGGCGACTGAGAGCCTGCTCTCTGTTGTTGGGTAATCGCTGTCGGGGAGAGCGAAAAGGGAGAGGGGCCACCCAGTGGTTTGATTCGTCCTTGTTGAATTCATCGTGCATAATGTTCAAAAACAGTTCATCATCGATGGAGAGCGCCAGTTTGTCATCATCTGCTGTTTTCCTGAAGATGTGTTTCCCCAGTTCATCCTTAACCTTTGCATTCTCCAAGTGGCTACCTCCCTCTGTAAGACTTTCTTTCACGTGAATTTTGCTGCTGCCGGGGGGAAGAAAGCTTGGCCGACCAAAGAGTTCACTGTGGGTTTGTGAGCTCCAGAGAGGCACACATTTCCAACGATAACCCACCCGAGGTCGAGCTTCTGGGCGTAAGGGGCTTCGTGCGGGCCGTTTACCTGACTGCGGACTTTGTGAGCCCTAATGATGTCACGCCCTAGGAGGAGGAGGATCTTTGCTGATGAGTCCAGCGGTGGTATTTGTGATGCTACAGGCAGCAGATGAGGGTGGGCAGCAGCAGCTTCTGGGGTAGGAATCTCACTCCTGTTGTCTGGAATCTGGTTGCATTCTGTGAGTGTTGGCAGAGGCATCAAGGTCTTACCATTTATGCTCTCAATAACAAAGCCGTGGGATCTGCGTCCCATTGCGTTGGATAAGCCAGAGCATGTCTTCATTGTGTATGGGAGAGCCTAGCTGTGCACGTTGAACGTATCGAAGAAGTGAGATCTAGCTAGAGACACGTTGCTTTGGTCATCTAACATGGCATACATTCTTATCTTCCTTTCAGGTGACGCACTAGGAAACACGTTCACGAGACAAATCTTAGAACAAGACTTTCCTTGAAATCAATTTCCATACACCTCTGTGCAGTTGGATGTGGTCAAAATGTTGCTTTGGGGATCTGGCTCCCCGCCATGGACCTCGAGCGAGGCACCAGAGTCCAAAACTGTCCACGGTGGTGGCCTAGCATGCATTGCTGAAATGTGATCATCACTGTTGCACTCTGCACAGCGGATGACTGCTTTACAGTCCTTATCCCTGTGGTCTGTCGAGGAGAGACACTTGTAACACACCGAGTTCTTTGAGCATACCTTTCCTTTCTTCCAGCGTCTTCATCCTAAACCCCCTGCATTTGGCAAGTGAATGTGGCCTTTTGTGGATTGGGCACTGAGTGTCAGGATTGAGAGGGCGTGTAGTGAGTTTGTGATTGAGTGAGCGAACCTGCGTTTTGTTAGCAGTTATGGGAATCCTGGACCGTGTCTGTTTAACTAGTGTCCTTTCAGTTTTTAGTGGTGGCTGGTTATAACTTTGTAGCACAAAGCTTGGGTCCGTTTTCATTTCAGCGTGGTCGTTTACAAACTGCACAAAACAGGAAAAGGGCGGATAGTGAACGTTACAGTCTCTTTTGTCCCGTGTTTGAACCATGCCTCCTGTAGGCCATGTGGGAGCTTTTCTACTATCGGGTTTATTCCTCTTGATGTGTCGAGAAAGCTGAGACCTGGTAGACAGCCTTCATTTTTCGCCGCTTCCAGTTCCAGAAGGAGGTCAGCAAGCTCCTTTAAAAGGTGGTTGTCTTTGGGGGAGACCCTGGGGAAGCTCTCCAGACGCTTGAACAGAGAAGCCTCAATTACCTCTGGCGAGCCATAGTTTCTATCCAGCCTTTGCCACAGCCATTGCAGCCCTGCTGCGGGATTGTTGACATGGACAGCTCTAATTCTTAAAGCATGTTGGAGAGACTCGCCACTAAGCCATTTGGTGAGCAGATCAAGTTCCTCACTGTATTTCAAGTTTAAATCCCCTGTGGCATTGTGGAACATGGACTTCTGCTGTTGGCATTATCGTGGAAGTGGGCTTTTACACATTCTTCCGTGCGATCAATTGCAGCAGTCATTGAGGCAGGATGTCCTGTGACATGCGGCTCTGTGAGGTCAAGTCGGTCTGCAGCTGCAGCTTCTAGAACTATTGCTGCAGCAAGCGCTGCTTCAGCCTCTGCCTCTTGCTTCAGAGCGTGGAGGTTTGCCTCCACACGTGCCTTCTCAACTTCCATACTCACTTGCCGTATGGCATACTGAACTCTAGGACAGGCGGCTTCAGCGTTGGCTCTGGCTTGAGCAGCGGATAGGCTTGCTGCTGAGCCGCTCGACCGGTATGATGTGACTGATCTGCACTGCGATCTGACCTCCAGTTGGGAAAACTGCGTAGCACCTCCCTGCTGTGACATCTTAGACGACACTGAATCAGCTCCCAGACAATACACTGGATGTGAAGATAATCATTTTTACGCTTCTGCCCTCAGCTAAACGTCAGCTGCTTAGCTTATGCAGCGAGCTAAACACAAGAGGCCCACAGAGGAAAACTCCGGAGACGATGAAGAATAATTCTTTGTAGCTCTATTGTAGAACTCTAATTTATACTTTCTTTCCTCTTTGTTGTAAAACTGAAACAGAAATAAAGGACATGTTCGTTTTAACATGTGATCCGAATACATTACACATAAATTGACGTTAGAAGTCACGACACACTAAGTTAACATTGTAGTAACAGAGGATAAAAGACCGAAGCAAGATGGCTACAAATGCTAACAGAATGCTAACGTAGTGTTGCCAATACACACAGAGAACGGGATGTGTTAATGTCAATGTAAAGAAACACTCAAACTACACACTGTATTAAAACGACACAAGATAATGATACATAGAGTAAACATAGCACCAGAAACTTACTGATTATGCTAACCCAAGGAGCACCGAAGCTTGCAAGAAAGCCGTGAACTGTTGTGTCTTACGTCTTGAGTGTATCATAAACCAAGAAATTAGCTGAAGCTTACGTATTTCCCTTAAAGGATTAAACTAAACCTTCAAACAAAATAATTTGAAGCCTGAAAGGCAGAATAGATGCATTCTGACCATGTTACGATACTTATCTCTTTTAATTTGTTTTATTACTGCAAGTAGAAATAGAAATAGAAATGACTGTCTGCAGAGAGAGGCTGTCATGTAAACAGCACAGGGAACCAATAAAAGGAAATAATAAATGTTTGAATGAACATAATGTGAAAGTTTATTATTCTGCAGGGGAATGCTATTTGCAGATGGAGTGAAAATAAAAAGACAATAAAAAAATTGAAAAACAATAAAATCTCATACTGGCGAGATCTCAATCAATAACCAGAAAGCGTAGAGTGTTAAGGGACAGACACAGTTAAATCAGGTTAAACAAGGCTGAACACACTATATACTGGGTCTATCGTAGTGTTGGAGACGTGTATCTTGCACTTGTCGCTTCATTAACAACACAAAATACCTTGTTGACCCTGTGCTTCTTCTACCGAATGATGACTCCTCCTTGACGTTATCATCACAACAACATCGTATATTATTTGACTGCTGCTGCAAAAAATATCACGTTACCATATTCATGGCTATATTAGTTTCTTAATAGAAAAAGATAAATGCATGGGACTAAGCAATAACCTGTCAATATATGGACATCTGCACTTGTTCTCTATCATGACTGTAGCCTTTTTCTCCTCTTAACTGTGTTGTACTTTATGGGACTTTATTTATTACAGTATGTAATTTCCACCAGTTGCGGGGTTGAAAATATTGGCCTTTTCCTTCAAGGTGTGCCATCGCCTACCCAAGAAATACTGACCTGTCAGTAAAGGCCTCTGTGAATCGAAAACACCACTGTGTGTTGTTTTCAGTTCACCTGAAGCTTCCTTACCTGTAGTTTTCCCAGCTGCAGCAGGTCTTGTCCGAGGGCGACAGATGCGAGTAGAGAGGCACAACCCAACATCAACATATCACTCTTCTTCCTCTGGCTGCAGCGGCGAAGCGAATCCTGGTAGCCCACACCGGCCCCCAGGCCTCCAGCAATCTGGCAGGAGCTTGTGTAACCAACAGCAGTTACCGTATTGGGCCCCAGGCTGCCCCACAGGGGCCCCGAGTCCTCCATGGCCCCATTACTACTGGTCTCTGATGGCTGCAAGGACCCCGGCGATTCTTCAAACTCACTACCCTCCTCTGTTAAAGAGAGAACAGAAAGGGTTAAGATGAGGTTTCTTACTCATTTAGTGATGTGCATCTTATAATGAAAAATAAAGATTCACCCATTTCATTCAAGCTGGAGAAGCCAGCAGTCATAGGTGCATGTTTGGGGGATTTGCCCAGGTTCGGTGCACTGGACGACCACACTTTGCTTCCCTCACCCAGTGACTTCAGCCTGTAAACAGAGAACACTGCATTGAAATCAAGTTAACAGATGAATTTTTAATTAAGTCAAACAGGGCTACAAAAATAACATTTAGAGCTTCACCTCATATGAAACAATATAGGTGTTCTTTGCCAAATCCCCAGAGACAGTCGCTCTGTTTCCATTGACAGTAACAAGATAGTGATAGAAAAGCTCCGGTACGAGCACTAGTCTGTCCACAAACACACAAGACAAGGAGCTAATTGTTTTCTCAGTAGATGAACAGAAAACTGGATCCCTGTGACTTAATTTTTGTCACTGTTGTTGTTTTGTCACTTTGTTCTGATACTTAACCAGAAAGCACTGTCCTACTGTTAATATTAATATTATCTGTTCAGAGCTGTAACTTTCTGCACTAGGTTTCTTCCTTTCTGTCTCACCGATGTGTCCCTATCTGAGTTTAGTCAAAAGGGACCGTGTTACCTTTCAGTGTTTACATGTAAACCTCAGCTGTGAAGGAACCTGTGAATCTTGTTCAGTGTAAATCACTTCTACTAGCTTCATTAACAACAACTCAGAACTTTAGCAAGTATGTACATACTTTTCCTCGCCGCCGACCCTTTCTCTCTGGTGGGTGGAGCTCGGCCCCCAGGTGCGTCCTTTCTTCTTGTTGGACGTCAGGTCTTCTTTCTTGCACACAGCGCTGCGGCCCCACGTCTTACTGCCATCACTTGGTGTCACTGCACCAGTGCAAACAGAATAAGCATCCAGAAAACATAGCATATTCTTAACTGCACCACATATTGCAAGATGCACATATTTTTTGGTCATATCAGCAGATGAGTTTAGTAAATTCTTGAGGTTCTTGGTGAAGAAGGTGAAGCATCTAAATGTCACAGAATGCTGCTGGAATATGGAGGAAATAAATGTATTTGGAAAGGGATGTGCCAAATCTGCAGTAACTCCTGAACTGTGCCACTACAGCTGAACCCACAGTAGGTTACACAGAATGGGTTTAGAGATTCTGCAGGAAACATAGTGGAGGAGAAAGTACGCTCCACGTGTGCTATGTGTATGCCCCAAAATCAAACATTCACTGTCATACTGTTGATGATTGGGCAGCAAATGATTCTTGACCTCCTGATCTGAAAGAGGTCGGCAGAGCCTGCTTTAGGACTGGGTGACAAAGTGAGGAAAAGTTGTTTCATATCAAGTTACTGTTTGTCAAATACCAAGTTGTCAGGACAGAAAAATACTTAAAGGATGGTGGAAGGCAGCACATGACCATGGATGATATTGATTTCTATTGAGTTTTTTCTCCTGTTTTGCTTTATTTCTAAGAAAGCCCCTCTTGTTTCTGTGATTGGGTGGGCTGAGCCTGGGTTGCTCAGTTTGGAAACAGGCTGTGTAGGAACCATTTTCAGTTATATGTAGATATGTGTGTTTTATGCTAACACCTCCGACCCACAGGTGGTGCGTCCTTGTTTTGGAGTGTACATCAAGGAGGATCAGCTGCAGATGCTGCTGATCCATGAGGAGGCACGAAGTCTCTGACTGCGCTCTGTGCCCTAGCTTTTATTTCGCTCACCTAGTTTGTGCTGTGCCTCTGAGGAAGTGTTTCATGTACACAGCTACAGAGGACAGTGTTGAAGACCAGCGAGTGGTGAGCAGAATAGAAGCACACGGTCATCATAGGCTGTCTTTTTATCTGAGCTACAATACTAATGTTTTGTTTAAAAAAAGAAAATATGCAATTGATGGGAAAAAAAACCATCTAACATTCACTTTGTGTGTTTGCACTCACATCGGATGGCTCTCAGTCGGGGTATGACCCCCGGGCTGGCAGGTGGGGTGGTGCTCTCGCTGCCCTGGCTCTTCCTCTTGTCCACACTGGGAGACGCCTGCACTGTGATCTTATGCTCAAAGCCTGCAGCGCACAAACAGAAGAAAATGTGGCAAACAGGTAAGAGTCACATTACAACAAGTCACACAGAGGCACCTTGGTGAGTGCTGGTGTTTACATAATGAGGCTGGAGCCTTTTTTATTGCACGTCATTCCAAGTCTTTTCCATTATGCCATATGCCACATGATATAAACATTTTCTATATACTGTAGATTTACATGTATTATTTTACAATGTTGACAGTTAACGGTGTCATATAAATATGATGATGATTTATTGGTGAATGCACACTAGGAGATAGGTGATGGCAATGGCAGTGATTTATTCTGAAGAGAAGTTGACCACACACCAAGCTACGATAATTTGTCAACATTTCAACCACACTTTCCTCAAAAGTGGCCATGTGTGTAACACTGATGATACAGATAAATCACTGTGTTGTTGTCCTGTCTTCAAAATACTATGACAAGACAGTACAGTAGGAGAACCGTGTTACTACTGCCCAATTTTTCACTGTAGAAAGTAGAAGCCTGAAATAATGGTACAGGAGAGGAAATGACAAAGGCAAAATGGAAGCCTATTTGTTTAGAGCCACAAGTTTTAACCATTAATACCAGATTCAAAATATATTACAATATAAACTGGTTAATGAAAACCATTATTAGTCCATGTAAGTTACACAGGTTCAATCCAACTCTTTGTTCTTTATTAATCAAAAAAGACTAAGTATATACACATATAGTTTAGATTAATGGTTTTTTTATATTTGTAAGTATTTTTTCTTGCAGCTCCTACTTCCACCCACCAGAGGGCAGACTGATGCTGTTGCCGTCTCGGCCCAGCTTCAGTAACCTGCTCTTCTTGAAGTGGCCCTTTCTCTTCTTCACCCTGGGTTTCTCCTGGTACATCTGGTGGATGATGATGTTCAGCTCTCGCTCCACGATGTCGATCTCCCTCTCTGCCAGCTCCTGCTCTCTCCTCCTCAGCTGCTCCTCCTGCTCCCTCTGCTCCTCGGCTGCTCGGGCCAGCGCCTCCTCCCAGGATCTCAGCTCCTTAAAGGGGGAGTGAGGTGTTAGGGTAGCAGCACCTCTCCTCACACCTTTTTGTGCAAAAGGCCTGTGGCTAATTCTAACCTGCAGACGCACCTCAGACAGATAGTGACATGGTGAGATTCCTCCCACCTTCAATAAGAAATGTGTCTGAAAACACCCTAAATAAAATACTACAACACAGTGTAGTTACAGTTCCTGGAACTACAGATTTTTTTTCTGTATACTTTAATTTAAAGCAAAGCATTGTATTTGTAAGGTCATCATATGCTTTGTATGTAAAAATATTAATGTGCAAAAGAATTAGTAAAGAAAACTATCGAATAAACACAGTGGGTTAAAAATATAAGTAAGTATAATGGGGCTTAAAAAGATGATACTCAAAGTACAAGTACCTAAACTCCACACTGAAGTTGATAAGACCTGACTGATGTGTGCTTGCATATCTCACCTTCTCTTTGGCCCTGAGCTCATCAAACATCTGCTGGATCTCCAGCCTCCAGTCTTCCTGTAAGGAGTGGAAAGACTCCAGAGGCATCTGGAACATGGCCGACTGCTCGATGGCCAGCAGCCGCCTCAGGATGCTGGTGAATGAGGGCCTGCTGTGAGGGATGGGGCTCCAGCACTCTGCAGGAGATGAGAGAGGAAAATATGTGTTTTAATTACAGGTGATTTCTTAGGTTAGTGTCATCTGTTCTGTATTTTATAACCCCGAGCCAATGATACACAGTGGTACACCTAATATTACCAACAAACATGTAAGGTAAAATGTTTGTGTGATGGATGCCACCATTAATGTTGCAGATGATTAGATAATGTGTATATTAGCTGAAACAATTCACCCGTCTATTTAGTTTTTGTCTCTCTGCAGCAATGAAATACTTTTTTGAAACAACAGACTTAACTATAGCTACAGGTATGTTTTAATGTACAGTATAAGGCAGTCCCCTTCTCCTGGCTTTGGTTCCTGTTTTATTACTCAGAAATATGCTGAATGCCAGTGTCCATTCACAAACGTTTGACTGTCCAGACTGAGCAGCACACTTTCAGCTGACACTCTAGCTTAAAGGATAGAACTGGTGTTAATATACTGATAACAAACCCTGAGAAAAGACCAAAACTGTCAAGTCCATCCTTCTGTTTGTGGCACTGGAGTTCCTGCTAACAACATAGCTTAAAAACAGGTCTCACACATACATATTAAATAAATAAAGCACATCACACAGTCAGGTCATCAACATAATACAAAAAAGACCGAACCCCTGTCTGGGTAATTCAGTATGTTCTGGCAGCAGAGCAGGCAACAGGAGGAGTGGAAGAGAGAAAGATGGGGCAGCATATGGCAGCTACCCTGAGCCAGGCCCTGACCGACAGTACTGCAGAAACATGGGGCACACCTACAGTCATGTGACTGATGACCACCATGGGCGGAGCCAGAGAGTCACACCTCTAGTGCAACCACTGCCAGAGTCAAAATGTGATGCATGTCAGTATTAATGAACGAAAAATGAAAAACACTGGATGTTTTTCACCAACATCTTCCTGTTTCCTAAATTTATTTGTAGGTTTTTCTTCTACATCTCATTCATGAACATAATCTTAAACAGCAGAATTGTTTGCACCTCTGTTCTTATACTGATGAATCCCATGTGCTCCTAAGTTGAAAGTGCGTGCTGGTCGTTCCTAGTTAGCACAGGTCAACACCCTACCAAGGTCCATAAAAGGGCATGAGACTGCAGGGCCATATGCACAGATCTCAGACAGAAACGGAAAAGAGATGCTGAGAAAGGAATTCTACAATGAAAATCTAAAGCAATGAACTCCAAACCGAAGAAAACCCTGAGCAGTTATGAGGTGGAGAACAACAAATGAGCTGCCATATTTAGTGGCGTCAGTAGACACATGGGATGCTCGAACTCGTTCAGTGAAGGCTGTATAAGGAGAAGGGCGCACAACTGATGAAATAAAAAGATGAAATAAAAAGAATCTGAGGCAACAAAACAAACAGGGAAGAGAGACGCAAACCAGTGGAGGAGGACAGGCTGGCCCAGAGTTATCTGAGCTGGACCAGCACATCTGAGTCATGCACGGCTCTATCGGATGCCGTCAGCTGAGCAGACTCCATGTGTGGCCCCAGGTCCCTTTAACTGCCCTGAGTCTGATCTCAGACGTGGTGCTGGACAACCAAACGTTTCCACAGATGACCTCAGCTCCGGCCAAAACATCCGAGAGACACTTAAAGATATTAACAGAAATTAGAAATAGAGATGAGCACTTAAACGTGTTTAGTTTCCTAATTCTAACCTACAAATAATCACATTAGTGTTTATTCATTTTAAAAGATAATGATTTGTAAAATAATAGGAAACATATTAAAGAAATACTAATAATGACAAAACTGTTATTGTATTTTAAAACCTATAATATTACACAATTGTAGAATGGAAGAAAACAAAATAACCAGTTATCTCACACACACGTCAGCGCTCAAATGTGTGTGCGTGTGCTCTTGAGTGTGCGCAGTTTCTGTTCTTACCTAAGAACAAGGTTGAGATAAGAAAACAGTGATGAACACCAGTATGTTCATAAGTGGGTTTTACAAACAAATTTATTCTTAAGACCATTTGGTGAATGAGACCCACTGATGCAGTGTTGCCTTAAGTACAACTAACATTCTTCTGGTGTTTTATGATTGATATTGGCCAAACTAGTTTTATTTTATATCATGCGTCCAGCATGGCATTTGCATTAATTTCTCAGACTGTGTTGTTGTGGAGCACTTGGCACGATTCACCTCAGTGGGGGGAAACCACTGTGTAGCAGCGATGTCCCCGGCAGGTAGAGTAAATAAGGAGTGCAGCCAAAGTTAGCTGAAGAAAGCACTATGTGTGTCTCATGTTTACAGTAAATAACCAGTTTGACTTTAAATAAAGTATGTTATTATTTCGTTAATTTAGGGGTTTAATTGACTTTTTACGTGTATTTCAAATGTGCCACCCCTCTCTGAGCCTGTGCCCCAGTTTGGCCACCCCATCCAAATTATCTTCCCGATCCACCCCTAATCACCACAGCCACAAACATCTACTACAGGTCTGACACAACTCAAGGCAAAAACAAACTGTAAAACCTCAGAGGTGTGCAGATGGAGAGAGCAGTTTCACAAAACATTTTCTTCACCAGGTGATGCTTATTTATCAGGTAAAATAAATTACAATAAGGGGAATGCGGATAAAGCTGGAGTGAGGGGAGATGAAAGTGAGATGAGTACAGGAGTAAACAGAGTGTAGAGAGCAGCGAGGGATTAGTGGATGAACATGGATAAGATGGAGAGGAGCAGAGGAGGGCGGCTGTGTGAGGAACAGCTCCCACGGTTTTATTATTAGACATAAAATCCGGCCTGCAGCTTGCCCTTGAAAAAATATAGCTTAGGAATAACTTGGCAGGTGTGTGTTTAAACATAGACGACCTGAACTATGAAACAAGAGCTCTACCACAGTTAACGGTGCACTAGGATTCTTTGCAAGGTGAATCTTCACCCCTACTGTCCAGGCCTGTTTACCTCCCAGCAGCTGAGCAAAAGCTTCAGGGCACGTTGAAGGGACAGGAAGTGTGAGCTTGTTCATGGCAACTCCATAAGCCACTGCCAGTGCGTCTATCTCTCGGTAGGGAACTTCTCCGGTCAGCAGTTCCCACAGCAACACACCAAAACTACAAGGAGAGAGAGAGAGAGAGAGAGAGAGAGACAAGAAAAATGTTTTGTCATATCTATGTTTCTATGACACATCTGACACCACAAACCATCACTGAACAGGATGACCACCTCTTATCAGCGACCAGAGCTCCAGGTGTAGGTTAGGTAATATTAACTGATGAAGGCCATGAGATGCAGCAGAAAGCTCCACACATTTCCAGCAAGTTAACCTCACACAATGAATGAATTTGTCACTGAAAGACCATGACCCAGTGTGTTGTTATGGCAAGAAACCAGCTTGAAGTGGCTTGGTATACACCAGTATGCCGTACCAGCACAGTTTACTCTTGTGCGTACTGGCAATTTTCCTTGCATACTGGTACTTCTCACAGGCTGCCAGTGGTACTCTTTTAAACCTATAATTGTTATTACATGTCAGCCCTGTGATAGACTGGTGACCTGTCCAGGGTGTACATACTGTACATAAGCGCTATAGATAATGGATGGAAGGACGGACTATATCTGTTATTTGGCCAATTTGGAGCAGCGCAAGCTGTAAATACAATAGGCTGAATATTACACACAGACATAAGGGGAGTACTGGCACTTTTTCCCCACTTCAAGCACTGCAGGAAGCAATTTAGTTTACAGGCAGAAGGAGAAAAGTTCTATTTCTAATTTGAAATATGTCAATTTAGCTCCACCTCGACCAACTGCAACAGTAAAATGCCACTTACAGATTAATATGTGAGAAGAATAATCCAGTAATATAATATATAATGGTATAACATTCACACAGAACATTTTTCTAAGTTATGAGTACTTTTAGTTCTGATCCCTTAAGTACATTGATTATACTTAAATTCTAAAGTAGCACTTTAAATGCAGGGCCTGTTAGCCTTGACTTGCTTGGCCGCCGAAAGCAACATAAAAATTGCCTAATAATCTTAATATTAAACTGACTTGCTATTATCATATGGTCAGAATCTCACTAGTGTGACACAGAGCGTCTCCCTAGGCAGTCGGGTTGGAGCACTCTGTCACTGTGCAACACGGGAATACAGTGACACACACACAGGTGAGTGCTGTACCTCCACACATCGCTGCTCTTGGAGAACAAGGAGAGTTTGATGACCTCAGGGGCCATCCAGGCGTAGGTCCCCGCTGCACTCATCTTGGTGGTCTGGTGCCACTCCCTGGCCAGGCCAAAGTCGGTGATCTTCAGAGTTTTCCCGCTCAGGTCGTCCTGCTCCACCGGCTCCAGGATGAGGACTGAGGAAGAGGAGAAGGCAAGGACAAAGAGGGAAGAGAAACGCTGGTGTTAAAAGGTGACAGGGCTGTACGCACAGTACATATCAGACAACAACCCACAACTACAGATACTCTGATTTTGAGCCATTTCAGATATATGAATGCTCTCTGACAAGGGGGCAAGGGACAGAGCCAGAACACAAACAGCACAGGGGGCTTCATGTATCACACATGATCACAGTGTAAACCCTGTGGCTGCACAGGAACATGTTCAGTTTCACAGGACAGAAACCTGTAATTACAGGTAAAATAGAGCGTGATCAGTTGGTACACTTCCAGTCATGTCTAAATGTTATGACACTTTGATTCAGAGGAAACAGGGGAGCTAAACATGCAAATGTAAAACGCGTCTATAAAGAAACACACAAATCAGCACAGATTAATAATAAACTTTACAATGGTAAATGACGAGCAGTAAATATTTCACTGGGGTTTAAATGGAGCATTTCCTTTCATTTAATGTGGAAATCAATAACAAACTCAGTTAGTTTAACTAACTAACTAAAGCAACATAACTTTGTCTTTATTTTTCTGTAATCAGTGATAAACTATATGGTTCTTTTCCAGCAAACCTCCAAGAAACTATTAGGGCACAACTACCGTGTGAAATATGTTTCTAGATGCCGTGCCAAGCTGTTGTTGGAGTTTAAAAGGAAATCCAGTTTTATGTCCAGGTCTATTCTAATATGTAAAACTGTGTCAGAAAGCATGTAAATGATATAGTATACATGTTCAATCACACAGTTGTGTTTACAGTACAGGTGCGGTCGGACCAGTGTGTTTGTTATTCCTGCTCTTGACAGCGTGTGTCTGAATATAAGTACAATACAGTGACATCCATTTGAATGTACTGTAAACTCATTAATGTTAACCTGTCACCTCCCCTGTCTCTCACTCGCGCTCCCTCCCTTGCGTCTGTCTCTTCCATGCACACTGTATAACTTCCTCCTTCGTTTCCGCGTCAGGGCCGGCTATGGAAATATTTGGAGTGTACACAGTTCACAGCCACTGGGAGCCAGGTGGGGGTTGCTTTCTCTCTCTCTATCTCTCTCACTTATCTACACACGTATGCAAAGGGTGGTGGAGAAAGGCTACGCACACAGAGGTGTCTTTGTTTACACGCACTTGCACTCCAGCACACACACACCCACACACACAAAACATTCACGTGAAAAAGGTGTGCCTCTCGGTGCTCAGCCCTGTCCACAAGCTCACCAGGAGACCGGTTTCAGGGATGAATAACTGATGTCAGGCCAGCCTCTAGATAGTTTAATAGTCAGGCAGTGGTGAAAAAGGAATTAAAACCTTTTACCTGAGTAAAAGTAAAACCACACTGTACACGAACAACACATTGTTAGTGATTAACTAGCCTGACTTTTCTTGACTCATGATCCTTTAGAAAAATGCTGTGTGTAGGTGGGGCCTCAGTCAACTTGCCCAGTCATTTTCTCTCTAGCCTTCTCAAATGGTTTCATAACTGATTCACATAGCACCAAAGATTAGAGAGACATCCCAGAAATTAATAAAAATTTGTGTAGCACAACTTTTGTTTTTCTTCTTCTAAACGTCTGTCAATTCATCAGATTTGTCTGATCCTGAGGTCAAGAATAACTGGGCTAGAATGCCAAACCATATCTGTAGCTTTATGATCATTTCAACCTGGTGTATTTCCCATAAATGTCCTTGTGCTAGTAGCTGCCTAGAATGGCCAGTATACTAGCTTAACAGCCACTACTGTTATACTACTTTTAAAGGAAACTCAAAAGGCTTAATGCAATGCAGATTATCCTGTGGAGGACAGACGAGCAGGTGAATCAGAAGAGGAGAAATGAAGGATGGAGGCAGAGACAGAACTGGACAGGACCATCCTCAAGACAGTGTACCCTGGAAAGCAGTCACTGCCTATCACAGCTGGCCGAGGAGGGAAACTCTTAATGCCGCACTTATCAACAGTATGGTCCTGGAGACTTTAACCTCCAGAGAAGGAAATACACAGGTAAACGCTCAGCTCTCCACAGGACAAGAAAAGCAATTACAGCATATAGAACAGTATGTGTGTCCCCTCAGGTTGTATTTCTGGACCCACGAATTGCCAAGATTAAAGGTAATCAAAAGAAAAAGTTATGTTGGATACTTAAATAAAAATTAATCTTCTGGCTGTTCCTGTTCGGGGTCACAGCAAATCATCAGTTACCACCTAACTGACGATTTGCATGGTAAACTTACTACATTTTTACACCGGATGCCCTTCCCGGGGTGATGACTAATTTCGAGTTGCCAACCTAAGCGACACGTCTTTAGATTGTGCGAAGAAAACGAAGTACCCAGGCAGGCACAGGGAGAACATGTAAACTCCGCACAGAAAGGCACCGGGTCAGCCAGGTCGTGATACGTCAGTGTAACGGCCACAGCAGGCAGCTACTTTCTGTTTTCAAATGATTCATGTTAAAATCGTTTACTGTAAAACCAACAGGAGCGCTGCACTGCTTTCTCTGCTCTTTACCCAAATTTCCACAACAGAAGTAGCCAGTGCAAAGTTAGCATGACTCCACTGAGACACGACAGCAACATGTATGTGAAATAAACTGGAACTATACATTTAAACTAGCTCCACCTCCAGCTACAGCAGCAACATGCTGCACCAATAACATCATATCTGTCACAGTGACATTTTACTGAGGAATCAGTACTTCTACTTTAGAACCTTTTTACATTTTGCTGATAATACTTTTGTCCTAAAATGTCCTTAAGATTTTAAATGCAGGACTTAACATTGTTTACATTGTGAAATTCTTTTTTCTTAAGTTTTAAATATGTCATTGTGGATATGCTTAATTATTTTCACCCACATCTCACAGATAGAAGGATAGAGAATATAACCTGTAGATTAACTGATCAGATACTTGATTAACCACAATGACCAGGTTTGAAGAAAGATAGTAATAGTACCAAAGCAAAGTAATGTACCTGAGGGCATTACTTGAGTAAATGTACTTAGCTACTCTCCACCCCCATGCTTAGGCCATGTGACTGTGTCTAGTCTCCAAAGGTGCGGGTTGCTGACAGTGACAATAAGCCACCGTCATCCTGTAGCTGACCTTTCTACCCTGGTACCGTCAGCTCTGTGACAGCTGTCTCCTCAGGAACAAGTCTTTCATTTTCTGTCGGTCTCTGAGAAGAAAAGGATGGAGCCAGACAGACTAAGAAAGAATGAGAGGACGGGATGTGTTTGCACACATAGATGGGTGCGTCCTCTCACAGTCTACCTTTGCTGGTTTGGTTTGTGTGTAGGACGTACAGTAGGTGGAGGGCAGCGTGGAAACAGAAGACAGAAAATGGAGAGGCTGATGAGGGAGAAAGGAAGAAAGACAGAAACAGAGAATGTTGACAGAAACTGAACGTGTGAGCACCCACTTGCTCCCGCTCTGCCTCTCCTCTTGACTAACTAAAACATCGCTGTTACTTTCACACCTCAGGAACGTCTGCATGCTGCCTCTTAGCACCGGCTGTGCTTGTTCATTCAGGTTTTAACAAACCACCAGCGTTTCACCCATACGTCTATTATCAACATGTTTGTGTTCGGCTGGCAGCACAGAAACCTGAAGTGCAGCGATACACAAATAGCACCTGCAAGGGCGTGGAAGGCATCACACCATATGTAATCATGAGGAAGAAAAAAAAAAAACATCCTCAAGGATTGCATGGCTTTTACACAATGCAGTGCTACTGGAAATGCTATCTCGAAAGAGAGCACATGTGAATGAGAACAAAGCAAGAAATAATGCTGACAAGCTCCCTGGTTACAAGCTTCCATAGCAACAGGCATTATGAGAAATATCACAGGCAGTGCAAACATACAGGGAGAGTTTAATACTATGGCACAGTTTGATAAGTTATGTGATAATTGTGCTAATAAACAAAAAGACTACTGCCACGGTGCTGAAGAGACGGACCCTCGCTGTGAGGTCCACAAGCCTTCAGTAGAGGGCCCAGTGCTTTTATGTCTGTCCTCACTGTGCACAGCTGATACCAGTGACGCTTTATCTTATCAGTGACCTGTACTATGCTTGTAACCTACAGAGAGACGAGCTGATTAACAAGCATGTGTAGCCAGGGCTGCAGTTCTCTGAGGCCGTAATGCTCACTGTAACAAAACCACATTGTAAGATGAATAAAAACTGTAGTCTCCACTGTTTAAGTACATGTAAAGTGACAGTGGCTGTCATGCTAACATGCTACTGTTTAACAGGTACAATATGTACCATGTGTGCCATCTCAGTTAAATATCTTAGTGTGCTACCATTTGCTTATTAGCATTAAAAACAGAGAGTACAACTGACACCGATGCAATGTCATCAGTTTTCAGGTATTTACACATAAACCAAAGTACCGGACAAACACCAGGAAATCATCAATTTTAGCCCAGTTCATCCTGAGGCAAAGTGTTTGTATAAAATCTCATTGCAATTACTGAGACAGTTCAGTGCAGGCCAACGCCATCCCTGCAGCCCTGCTGCTAATGTGGCTAAAAATCGAATGCAGTGGTCAAATTTCACCTTACATGAGTCAATTAACAACAAATTCATAAATGATTGCAACATGATTTGCTGCTGATTTGAAGGGTCTGATGTGAAAGCACTAATGAAAACAACTGGGGCCATCGTTTTAATTTCAGCCCATCCACATAATAAAAAATAAGGGCCCTGACTTCTGAAGGGGTCCCAATATCTTTTAAACCCATTAATGACTGGCACACCATAGGTATACACCGGTTTGTCACCAAGTGCTGATTTGGAGGAGGCCCACAGGGGTTAGGGTGCCATCTGGGACAAGGCACACAGTGTGAAACTTTACAGCATGTCACACTCCTAGACACAATCCAGAAACTGCTATCACAACCAATAAATATTGATCAGCTGACAAAAACACCTGCTGACTGGGGTGTGGACACAGCTGCAGGG